GACGGAAAGTGTATAGAACTAGTATTTTGTGCCACATTATAGGATTCACTGCTTGAGGTGATGGTGGCTAAATGGAAAATGTCACAGGTGAAAGACTCTCTGCTCTTTAAAGACTAGACCAGTAAAAGGCAGGGAAAAGTTAATTATCTCCTCACCAAAGAAATAAAGATCCAAGTTTTAAGGTAACTCTGAAAAGTCTCCTTGAAAATCGAGTTGTGATGGATGCTAGGGTCCTTTCACTGTGGTAATGAACCCTCACCAGGCTGAGAAGAGGTAGAAACATTCACAGAGTTCAATTTAATCTATAATAAACAGTGTTGATCTTTCTTGAGAGAAATTACAAAACCAGCTCTCATCTCCTGTCTTCTCATTAAACATTTCTCATTCATTAAAATCTTCCTTTTTAGCATTTTATTCTCATTGATTGTCCTACATCTGTGTTTTCTTTTTAACCTGCTGTATTTTTACCTGCTGATCAATTGCTACAAATCCATTAGTTTTGACCTTGCAGCCACTTTCTTATTTGATCTAAGCACTAAAGCACATGGTAGTCGTTACAGGTTAATAGTAAACAGAAGTGCCCTAGATTTTTGCTGTTTATATTTCTGTCCTTCCAAAAGTTACAACAACTTGGAATATAAAAGTTTTAATATATTTGGATGACAGTTCAGCCTATTTACACTCAATCTCCTGTTGATGCCAGTCACAAAGGTAGAATGAGTCCATGGTTTCCCTATATCATATTCTATCATATTAGGAAAACCTTATAAGTTGATTCTGTATTACTTTGCATCATGCATGAAGCATTATGGGCAGATTCCTTAGATAGGGAATTTTATTTCCTAACAATTCTGGAGACTAAAAGTTTGAGAGAAGTTCTCAGGATTCACCTTGGCATATGGATGACTAAGTTCCCCCAGTACCTTCATGTCATCTTCCTTCTATTCATGTCTATGTCCAAATTCCCTCTTTCCATAAGCACACTGGTCAGACTGGGGTGGTCAGACATCACTGCCCTTTTTTAAACTTGTGTCACTCATTAAATGCAGTCATAGTCTGAGGTACTTGAGACAGGTGCAGGACTTAAGCTTTCTTCTTAAATTTATTATGTCACTTGTTATTTCTTGTGTATAAAATCAAATAAGCATTTAGGATAATGATATGTGTCAGGGTTCATGGAAGTGACTCCATTCCATATTGACTTAAAGTCAGAGAGTTCAAACCCATCCTTGCTTTTTCAAGGTTAAAGGCCTAAGAACTTAAGGTCTAAGGTGTGGCTACTGAAGGATGTTTGGCTTAAGGTGTGGTCATTAGATGTTTTGCCTAGATCACAGAATAGTTGACCTAAGGTGTAGTTACTAGATATTTTTATCCTCAAGGCCAGATAACAAAAGGTTTTATCTAAGGTGTGGTTACTGATTGCTTTGAAAATTAAGAAAGGAATTAGGTCAGCTTGTTGTATGATTGGTGAGGAAGTTCTTTTGCCTTCCCCCCTTTGGGTTGGGGTATATAATAACTTTAAGCGATAAATTTAGGGTGGATCCCAGGAGTCACTGGATGCCCTCCTGACTCTATTTTTTGTCTCTAGCCTGTGTCTTTTCTCAGTCCATACTCCTCAGGTATGAACTGGACAGCGTGGGAGGTCAGGGGTATGTACTCTGAAAGTTCTAGATGATTTTACCATTGATGCCAATATTGCATTTTGAACCTTTGAGATGAAGAATACATAATAATTAAAGGTGGAGGATAACTGAGAAATAAAGCAAAGACATCAAATGAAAGAGACTAATCCACAGTAGAGCAGTTAGAACCGAATCCAGGGCACATTAACATAACTAGGTAATTTTCCCAACTGTGTTACATTTTATTTCATTTGTTAGTGCTAAGGATGGAACCCAGGCCCTTGAAAGTATTAGACAAGCCTTCTATCACTGAGCTAAAACCACAGCTCAAATTGTTTTAATATTCCTTTTTTTTTTAACGATTTGATTGTTTTAACTTTTTATTTTAATTGATTCTTTGTGAGTTTCATACTCTCATCTTCCTGTCTGTTCTCATCCACCATCTGCCCTTGCAAACCCCCCCAAAAAAAAAATTTAAAAGAGCAACCCAAAACCAAACAAACAAAACAATTCCAGGCTATAGTGTGGCTTTGTTAGTAAGTTTACCCTTTGTAAGTGTTCAATGCTATGAGTCATTGTGAAGGGACCAGATCCTCACCCAGGCCCCTGCTTTAGCAGACATGACAGGCTGCAGAAAAAACCCAGCAAGATGTGCTTTCCTGACCTTGCCTGGCCTCTTAGTCACTTGGAAGCAAGATAGATATCTCCATGTGGCAAGGAAATAATCAGAATTTAGCTGGCAGGCTCTGGACGTTCTTTACAGTGCTTTATGGTAACAGTGATGTGCAGAGCATAGCAACTGCTCTGGGAGGGCCTATAGGCCATAGCAACCAGTTGACCAATCAACACAGGACAGGTTGCCCAAGCCCAGGTTGTACCAATCCTGAGACTATCGTATATCCCTAGACACTGTTGCTCTCCCCAATAAATTCCCTGCCTCGATGCCCTTCAGGTCCTTCTCACACCAGCCTCTGTATTGAACCAATGAGGGAACTAAGTTAAGACAGTTAACTCATTAAATAATAAAAGATTCTCTTTGCTTTTGCATCGGGATGGGTCTTTTGGTGATTTGGGGGTTCAGAATTTGGGCACAATTGGTCTGGTTCAAGGCCTCTGGCTTCTGCTATGTCATCCATAACGGGCCCTCACTGGATGTCCTCTTGGATATCCTGTCTCATGGAGAGTCTGCAGTTTTGGATCTGTAGTTCTGGCCCCTTTACATCTCCTGCAGTTCATAGACAAGATGAATACTGGATGGGCCAACTCATAGCTCTGGTTCTGGGTCTGGGTAGAGACTGCATTGGTCAGCCCATCAGCTTTCCCTTGTTATCACCACCTGAGTAAGTTCTCTAATACTGTCTCAATGCAGCCTGCAACAAGGAACAGGACTGTTCTCCAGATTTCATGTCCTTGGGTCTGGCTCACCCACACCCAAATCACCAGGGCCAGCTCTACTGTTTTGCCTAGGTGAAATCCAGGGCCCTCTCTCCTGATTGTTGTAGGGGACTTATATGCAAATGGGGAGTCAGGTGTTACCCAGACAGGGACCTAAAGATCATGATTAAGATAAATAGGCTAAGGAAAAAATACAACATACAATATTAGATATAGAATGTAAGTAGAAAGTTGGAAATTCTATAGAAAAAGAAACGCTAGAAATAAGAATGTATTTGTTTCTATATTGGAACAGAGAATACCTTTGGTATACTTATTAAGAGACTGACTATATCACCAGAAATTCCCAAATTTCAAAAGCAAGAGAGAAAAAAGTCATGTCATTGTTGTTAGACTCATGTGTTATGTGTCAATATTGACTTTTATAATAGGAAACTGTAGGTTTAACATTAACCCACTATCACTACACACTTACAACAGTGACTAAAATCCAAAAACACAGACAACCACTACTGGCAAAGATGTGAACCAATGACATTCATGGGAATGTCAGTGATGGATCCACTTTGGAGGACAGTGTGTCCATTTTTAAAAAATAAAAACAAACAAACTCTTGTAGTGTGACTTGGCAGTCAAACTGCCTGCTTATTTGAGATTTACTCAAATAAGATAAATAGTTCAAAGAACATGGAATCCTCCACATGAATGTTTATTGTAGCTTTAGTCATAATTGCAACCAAGATATAACCAAGACACCCTTCATAGAAGAGTGCAAAGTTGTGGTACTTCCAAGCTCTGGAATATTATTTGTCTTTGCATAAGAAAACCAGGAAATAGACAAGGATTTAATGTAAGTGAAAAAAAAGCATTTGATAGGGCAGCATGTCTAATAATTCTAAGCTTGTGACATATTGGGAAAGGCAGAACTAAGGAGACAGTGAGGGGTTCAGTGTTTTCCAAGGTTGGGGACAGTGTGGCACCAGTCAACTGTTAACTTCTTCAGATTTGTGGGATGCCAGGAAGTTAGTAAAGAAACCTGTAGACATATTTCTCATTCATTTCAAGGGACAAATAAATGATAAAGAGCCTGACCTAATGAATTTGTTATTGCTTGACAGAATCAAAGTCTAATGACATTGTGAAGAAGTGGTAACACTTGGGAGACTTCTTCCTGCACTCCCTTTTCTCTATTTCCTGGCCTTGAGCCATGAATCACTTTGTTATGTCCATTGTATCATAATGGACTGTGCATGTGTCACATGATCCTTTTCCTTATGTTGTTTATGTCAAGCAATAGGTTACAATGCCAATAAAGTTAACTGACACAGGAGGAAGGGAAGAATAGGAAGATTTTGTCCAGCAGAACTGTCCCCTACTACAGACTCAAGCCACTGCTTATTGGTGAACTCCAGTGTGAATTATAAAGTCTGCAGATAGTAATATTTGCATTCACATTATGTTATTTGTGCCTGATATGAACGGCATAAGTTATTTATAAGAACCTGAACATATGTGAATAGAGTTGTGTTTAAATGCAGCTAAGGAAGAAATGGTTTGAGGCCCTGAAAAACCTAGAGCAGAACTATGAGGATACAATGAATCCCACTGGGAGTGTGTGCTTGACCTCCCAGGATTTGCCAGAAAGAGTAGGCAGAAGCTGACAATGGATCTCAATTTACACATTGAAAATGCTCCTCCAAGTGTTTTCCTAAAGTAGCTGAAGTTGGTGCTTCTTCTATTTCTCCTGCAGAACTGAGTTCACAAATGAAACAAAATAGAAACACCATGTTAAAACACACACAAATAAATATACCTGAACAATAGAACTCTTTGGTTTTCCATAAAACTCATAGTGAGAGTATGAGCTTAATCTTAATTCTGCAAGATTCTAAGTGGAGCATTGCTTTTGTCTTGAAGGAGCTCAGTGAGTGATACTAAGTTCAACTGAGAGGGGATGATTTTATCATAACCCACAGGGACGTGATGGGTCAAAAGCCAGGGGTAATTGCATCTTGGAAAGCCAAATGCCAAGCTGTTTCTAGACTTCAGCAGCAGGCAGCTTTGGACTTGGAACATGAGGGTGTCGAGCTTCAGTCTCCCCCTGCCCTGTGCATTCGCCTGTTCAAAATTCACATTGTAGGCACAGAATATCTTCAGCTGGAGTTAGGACTACATCTCAAAGATTCTGGGGTGAGGGGTGAAAACAAGGGTATTGAGCAAGGTGCCATTTCCTGTTTAACTTTGGTGCTGGCTGAATGGTCTTCCAAAGCTGCATTCTCCTGTTTCTTGACCTATAAGGTCTTTCCTGTGCTTTTTTGAGGAAGAATCCATTACCTTGTTTAATTAGCTGTTAAGGTAGTGTAGACTCTCGCTTTCTCAAAGTCAAAGTTGTGAACCCATGGATCTAGACCATCTAAAGAGTCCATACTGTGAGTAGGTGTGTCTTGTTCACAGTTTTCCATTTCTACAGTTAACAACATGGGGATGGATGCCTTTCAGTTCAAGGGGACATTGTATATCCAGAACATTGAATTGGCCCATGTAGATTTTAGAGGGACCTGAATTGTGAATTTCACTGGACTCAGGTTATGTGTCCCTCATCCCTTAATTGCTCTTCATGCTACTTTGTAGCTTTGACTGTTTCTCTTTTTTCTCTTTCATATTGTTGGTAGAGGGGGAACTCTCGGTACTTTTGGAAAGCAAAGCAGATACATGGAAGAATCCAGAAAAACGAAGCATAAATTATACTTCCAAGGTTTTCTCCAACATAAAAGGATAGGGAGCAACTGTTTTGTGCCCCCACGAATGGCTTGGGTTGACTATAAGGACAATGCACCTGTCGGTATGCATTTTCTGCATCTACTTTCTAAGAACCGAAGGGGCATAGTAACAGCTGAAGCAGGAGCAGGGTCATGGTTTGACCTCCTCAGACAATTTGGGAGGCACAAGGTTAAAAGCAGAGTATTTATCAATCCTGAATTTTAACTGTCTGAATCATAACTAGTTCAAAGTAGAAGTTCTGAAATCATAAGGCACTAAAGTACAATACTGAAATTTCTGCCAATATTGAGATGTCTTTCTCTATTGTTTTTAAAGAAACCAGTCACTGCAATACAATAGATGAAGGATTTATGAAGGTTTTTGTTTCTAGAGATATAAATATGCTACTGGATCTTCCATATGAGAGGAACTATTAGCAACAATCAATGATTTATTGTTTGCTGCTAATTCTAACTTTCATTCATTACTGGTTAAGATTATAATAAGAAATTATGATTGTAATTAAGGTGGTATCTGCAAAGTGCTGGTTTGGAGAACAAAGTGTGATTGAGTATGGCCAATATCTGCATATTTGAAAATTTACTGTTTAGAAAGTCATTGTCAATATTAAAGAGATTCCCCCAAAATATTTTGTGTCAAAAATTTTAAATTAAAACAGTCTTCATGGAGCATTAGTCATGAGCAAAATATTGTAATCATGATACAGTGATGTTTTAATTTTTCACCTTGGCCTGTTTATACATTTCCAATCACTTTATTGTAGGAGCCCTAGTCTACATATATTTTATGAAGATGGAAAAATTTTCCTTGTCTTTCTTTGTGGATATTGATTTACTTAACTATGTATGATTGTAATGTCAAGGGCTAAGGATATTTTAGAGATAATCTAGGTTAAAAAGAATAGTAATAATCAAATGTTTAAAAGTCATATAACAAAATAAGCATACATAATAGATGGTCAAAGATAACATGTAGCCAAGTGAGGTTTCCCCTCAGCCAACATTCATTGACACTCTTATTTTCTCGAGTTTGCTTTCATGAATATGATTCCTGGTTGTTCTCTTTTGAGTTCTGCATCTTGTTACTTGTGCACTAGATCCCCCTCTCCTACTATAGGCTAGATCACAGCATAGGCTTCACAAATGTCTATCCATTAGCAATAATAGCAGACTGTGCTGTGAAAATCTGTCCTCCAGGGACAACAAAGCTATTACCATCTTAAAGTCAGAGTAGTTGTGATTACCTTCATGAAATTCCTACAAAATGAAGTTAACTGACATTCCTGGTGGAAGGAGACATGGCTCACAGAGTCACAGAGTGAGGCTCCCCATGAGGGGCTTGCTAGACAGTACACAACGAGAACCCAAAATCACAGAGCCCTACCCTTCCCAGAGGATGTATAAGTTAACAATTTCTGAGGTAGGGTGGTCCCACATTCTATTAGTCACAAATAAACACACAACGGTTGGCCAATGGCTAGGGCTTCTTACTGGTTATTTCTCTCTTAATTATTAACCCATTTCTATTAATCAAAGTATTCCCATATGCTCTCTGTTTACCTGGTAATGGCCCAGCATGTTACTCCTTCTGACTCTACATGGCATCCCTCTTGTGGCTCCTCACCTTCCTCTCCCCAGGCTTCTCCTGGTCTGGTAGACCTGCCTGTGCTTCCTGGCCAATCAGAGTTTTATTCATCAACCAATAAAAGAAACATATTTAAAAAAGGACATCCTCCATCAGTAGGGAAACTCTTCTTGAGTGGTGTAGTTGTCTGTTAAGTCTGCCATACTCTTGGAAGCAGCTTTCACTCACATTTCTGTAAATCACTAAAATTAAACCCATTTGTTCACCAAGCTAGATATGAGTGGGATAATTTCTTTGGTCTGCTGTTGCTATCATATTTGGTGTAAAGAAAAAAAAATCTACTTTGTGTTTTGTTGGTAGGAATATGAATTTGTAGAACCATATGGAAATAAGCATTCACATTCCATAAAAATATTACAACTTCCATAACCACACCATTTGGTCCAGCAGGCTCTCTGTGGGATGTATGCAAAGAGCAGAAACTAACATATAGCATACAGAACCCTATGGAGACATCTTTACTGTCAGATCAACAGCCAAAACAAACAACCTGCTGTTTGTTAATGAGTAGTAAAAGAAATTACATTAATGTGCACACACACTTCATTAAAAGGAGGTCTTGATCTTTGACATTTATGACACTGGATGAACTTGGAGGAAATTCATAGTGAAATTAACAAGATCCATAAAAAAAGTTTACATGTGGAAAGTTAACAAAGAAACATCAGTCCTGAACACACATACGGGAACAACCCAACATGTTTCCAATAAGTTATACACACGTCATGAATCTGAGAGGGAGCTGTGGGGAGTGGGGGGAGTTGCAGGAGGAACTGGTAGAAATGATATAAATGTACTGTATAAAATTATTCTAGAAGTTAAACACATAGAAACTAAAAATAGACAGTAGTTATCAAAGATGGGGTATAGAGAAGAAATAGTGACTAGTAAATTAAAGGTCACAAAGTTGCAGATTATAGGGTGAGTAAGTATGGAGAGGCAATGTGCAAACAAAGGCTAGAATTAGATTTTACTGTGTACCAGAAATGACTATAAAAGATTTTAAGTGATACACTATACACACACACACACACAGAGAGAGAGAGAGAGAGAGAGAGAGAGAGAGAGAGAGAGAAAGAACCGTGTAACACAATGGATATATGCTTTTGTAGGGGCATAACTAATCATTTCACAAACATTTCAAAACGTGTGTTAAGTAATGCAGTGGTTTTATCTTGGGACCTTTAAAGTGTATATGTATCGTGTGTATGTGTGTGGTGTATCACATGTGTGTACAGGTGTTTTACTTGTATGTGCATATGTAGAGTCCAAAACTACAAATTAGGTATTCCTTCATTGCTTTCAATTTTTTTTGTTTTTAGAGACAGGATCTTTCAGTGAACCTGGATCTCATCATTTTAGCCAGGCTGACCGACCAGCAGATCCAGGTCAGCTACTTCTCTCTGTTCCCACCTGGGATTACAAATGTGTACCACCCACACCCAGTTTTTTCGTGTGTGCTGGGGATCCAAACTTAGGTCCTTACAGTAACCACTTCACCACTGAGCCATGTCCCAAGTCCTCCAATTGTCACTTGTCCATTTGTGTTCTAAATGACTTCAAAAGCAATAATTATAAACTAACAGCTGTACATTATAACTCACAGATTTTCATCAACCACCAAAAGGATTGGAGCATGCTTGGGGTTATAAACCTATGACCTTCCAAATTCTGGACTCCCTTTTATTTAAAAAGATTACTTCAAAATTATACTTATTTCTTTCCAGTTTGGGCTCTGGCAGGATAGCTCCCGTGAAGAAGGGTGGCGAGAAGAAGAAGGGCCGTTCTGCCATCAATGAGGTGGTGACCCAGGAGTACACCATCAACATCCACAAGCGCATCCATGGCATGGGCTTCAAGAAGCGTGCTCCTTGGGCACTCAAAGAAATCCGGAAATTTGCCATTAAGGAGTTGGGGACCCCAGATGTTCGCATTGATACCAGGCTCAATAAAGCCATCTGGGCCAAAGGAATAAGGTATGTTCTGTACTGTATCCGTGTACGTTTGTCCAGAAAACGTAATGAGGATGAGGACTCCCCAAACAAGTGGTATACATTGGTAACCTACATGCCTGTTACCACATTCAAAAATCTACAGACTATCAACGAGGATGAGAACTAACCTGCTGAATGTCAAATAAAGTTGGAGAGCTGACTGTGAAAAACAAAAATTATACTTATTTATGTATTTATTTAGAGTGTTTTTACATGCATGTGTGCCACCACTCATGTATGGTGGTCAAGGGACAATGTGTGAGAGTCGATTATTTCCTTATTTTCTGTGAGTCTCTGAGGTCAGTCAAGCCATCAGGCTTGGTGGCAAGCAGCTTTATTCATTTAGCTACCTTGGAGATCCCCACCCTTGACTCCTTACTTCAGTAATTGTCAATACTTTTCAATGGAATCAGTGGCAAAGGATTTCCAGAATTTTCTTTGGGAATCGGAATTGATAATTAAGATAGAAAGACAGATCTCTTCTTTATTTCAGTGTGTGGTTTATCCATTCATCCAATAGTGTAGCAGAGACCTCAGCCCCAGATCTACATCTTGTTTCTTACTAGCTCACAAGCTACCCAACACTGGAACCCAAATTACGATCCTGTGACCAAAGGTGATCTTCAACATTTGCCCTCTTCCCTGTTTGGGAGCATCCAGGCTCAGCTTGACCTGACAGTGGTTACATTGTCCTCTCCAATACAACACTTCGAGCCTCTGTGTTGAACACACTGTGATGAAGTAGAGGAGGACACATCCGTGTTCATCTATTTCTTGATGTGGAGGGTAAGGATGTTTCAGTCATTTCTATACCATGCTTGAGCAGCAATGCAGTAGGCTGGAAAGGTTGTTACAATTTGTTAGTCATTCATCACTTTCCACATCAGATAGGCCATATAAACCAGATATCCTAAATACACCTTGATGTCTAACACCAGCCTAGTGGCACTTATCAAGTCATGTGCATTTACTGGTGCGTTTTGAGCTACAATGTTCTTTAAAAAAAACGACTTTAAACTGGCCACAGTAGTGGGACTTAAAACACCCAGAATTCCACTGCATTCTTTCTCAAATTCACTTTTGTGCCCAAACTACGCATGATACATTATACAGCTGGAGGTATTTGTCTGAGAAAATTATGAGGGGTTGAAAAATAGAGGTTAGCCTCTTTCCCTGGCCTCAGCTCCTGGAGCAGCTCTGTTGCTATTCCTTAAATTAGGTTTTTAACATTTGCTGCATGCTATGGAATCGTGGAGAGCCTAGGCAGCAATCAGCTCAGCTCAGGTTTGTGCACGGTTCTGTTCTGAAACCGTCAAATAAGGGTTTGAGCCACAAATGATAGTGAACAATAGGTTGTGGGTGAATCCTAAGCATAATTTCTATAACTATTCTATTTTAATTGGAAGTCAATAATGTATTTCAGATAGTTCCTGGATTATCAGGAACCAGGTCAATGAAAAACCACCTAGAGAGCTATTACCACACAGGAACCTCACAAGTTTTCTCACTCATCACATACCAATTCTCTGTACCTTTATGTGTATGATGTGAGGGAAAAAAGAAGATGAAGATTTTTTGTTTTATTATGTTTTGTTTTCCAAGACAGAGTTTCTCTGTGTGTAGCTCTGGTTGTGACCTTTGCTGTGAGGCTACTCTCTAAATCCATAGGTTATCTGGACAGTACAGTGCTGTTTAATGCTTCAAAGCTTAAAGCAGAAATACTGCCAAGTTTATTTCACTAGCAAAAGTTAGTAAAGTTTGCAAACAAGAAAGGAAGTCTTTGGGATCTAGAAGAGAAAATCAGAAGGATGTAGAATATCAGGAGTCCAGCAGTGTTTATGTCCTAGAAATGGTGTTTATTGTCCATGGCAATACCCACATCCTAAGGATGGTCTTGAGATGGACACATCCTCAAACAGAAGAGGGAGCTTCTATTCCACACATACTCCAATCAGTACCTTTCTCAAAAACTCCATCAAAGCAAACTGGCACAAGAGTTCCTGTTACCTGCAAAGCTTTCCATCACGTGCTACTTACAGACGAAAGATGTTTTGAAAACTGTGTTGTTGGTGGTTTCATCATTATGTAAAACATCACAGAGGGTATTTACACAACCCTAGATGGAATAGGTCAAGTGCCTGGCATGGTGTTTTGATGTCAGGAGGCCTAGTGAATGTGTAATGTTGAGGGTGCCGGGAGTGTCCCAGTGCAATGTCAAAAGTAAATAGGGAAATACACTTGAAAGGAATGATTGAAAGTATCATACAGTATTGATAGAAACCTAAAACCGTCTGTACCATTGTACATAGTCTATAGTATTGATAGAAACCTAAAACCCTTAGTATCATTGTACATAGTCATAGAGATTGAACAACCTACTATTGAATGATGAATAGATCATCATGAAGAAGGATTTTTTAAAAATTTAGAATTATATAAAATGAAAACATACAATGTCTGTATCAAAGGCACAAAACTGTATTCAATAAAATAGAGAAGGAAAATTTCAAAATTTAGGTAAGAGGCCTGTGTAACCCCAAATAGATATGTCTAAAAGTGAGATTTCTAGAGTTTATGAAAATACACACACAGAGACAAAAAGACAGGAAGAGGGGGAGAGGGAAGGAAGGATGAAGAGAAAGAGAGAGAGAGAGAGAGAAAGAGAGAGTATGTTTGGCCCAGTTTGAACTTCAAATAAGCCTAGCACACTATATTTAGGATAAGTATACCCTAAATACTTGATGAACTAGAGCCTCCTGGTTTACCTGTCAATTCTACTCTAAAGACTGGTGATATTTTTAAAACTTTAAAAAATAAAATTGATTTTTTTTTGTTATAGTTGAGGTTATGAGAAAAACCAGATCACTTGTTTATTTCCTGAAGCCTGAACCTTCTAGAACACTGATTTCTGCAGGCCAGGCACTGAGCACAGAAAACAAGAGATTTTTTTTTTTAACTAGAGTAACTTCTTTTATGTACGTCTATCTTATTGTTGAAGATAGACATGTACCTTACAAGAAACCTCAGCATTGCTTTCATAAAGTCTGTATGTTTTAGGCACTGAAAATCTCACAGTTTAATAAAAGTTAAATTAACAAAGAACGATTATTTAATCTAGTGGACATTTCCCGTCCTCTTATCTTTATTATTTTATACACCCTTTAATACAACATAGTTTTTGTTTTGCGAAATAAATTGACTTTCTGGGTTTGTTTAGAAGAACATGTAATTGATTTTCTCTTTGACCTCTGCTGAACTCATTAGCTGGCCAGGTTACTGCACTGTCCATTGTGGGACTCATGTAGCAAGCAAGCTTTCCCTAATTATTACTACCTCTCTCACAAGTCTGAGTCATACTGAAGTTTACAAGAATCTTGGCTTCTCTCTATCACCAGAGATCACTGACTACAGCAAATAACGTTCTAAGTCTTGGTCATTACAGCATAGATGGATGACTTTAACAGTTAGAAAGCAGGTAATGAGGCAACCAGACAAAGAATGGGCATGATTGTAAGTAACAGGCTCATCAGTAACTTCATGATAAAAACAAAAACTAGAGTCCATGGTTACAAGAAAGAAACAACTGTACAAATAACCCACTAATTATATCCCAGGAAGTACAAATTGGAGATAGTAATGTCTGTAACAAAGATTTATTTTCCTAGATTATGATATATGTATAATATCAGCATCATTCAGTGAATACTAAATACTATTTGGTTGCCTAGAAAATCCTTGATTTATAAAAAACAAAAATGCCTGACAATTCCTGTTCTTGGAGATCAAGGGATACTGATGGGAGATGTCAGCACTGTTGGCCAATAGGAAAGGAGAAAAAAGGGGCTAGGAGACAAGGAGGAAAGAGGAAGTAGTAAGGAGGAGTCAAGATGGAGAGTCTGGAGAAAGCAGTATGTCAGCCGGCTCCCTGGTAAGAGAAATACATAGATCAGTAGAAATGGGTTAATAATTAAGGCAGAACTAGCGGATAAGAAACAAGTAACCAGTTCAACAGCATAATATCTAATACAGATTCTCTATGAGTTAATTGGGGCTGGTACGGTGGCTGGACAAGACCAGGCGGCGGCAGGCGGAAAAACCGCACTCCTTACAGGATACGTACATGATTTCCCTAGAGCAGTGGTTCTAAATCTTAATTCTGCAATCTGTTAGTATAGTTCCTCATGTTGTTGTGACCCCCAACCATAAAATTATTTCCTTGAGTCTTCATAACTGTAATTTTGCTACTGCTATGAATTGTAATGTAAATATTTGATATGCAAAATATCTGAAATGGGAGCCTCAAAGGGGTCACAACCCACAGGTTAAGAGCCATTTCCTAGAGGAAAAATTCTCATGAGTTAATGATCTGAGATATCTGGGGGAGGGGGAGAAGAGGTGAGGATAAAAAATTCAGGTGGAATTATCTAGTGCAGGACCTGAGTTATGAGAAAAGAACAGTGAGTATTGAATGGGCAATATGATTGGGTCAAGGAGATCTACATACACCCTGACATAGTGTGTGTAGATCAAAAGGGTTGGGCTACACATCTCTGTAACTTTAGGATGCAGTAAGCCACCCACATTCACACCAACTTTATACAGAAAAGCAGCAGCACTCATGGCCATAGAACTATTCTCTATTGCAATGTGAACCCTCATTTTCAACATTATTAGCCTAAGAATGCTGTAAGGGGCACCCCTGTAGAGCTTACAAACACGATGACCCCCAGGTAGGGACCCTTAATTCCTTTTTTTTTGAAAAGTCATAGCAAGATGTGTCTTTTCACATAGGGGAAGGAGAGAAGAAACTCCCATAAGTAGTTGTCCTCTGACTTCACCATGGATCCTGAAGAACATACACATACATGCACATACATACACACACACACACACACACACACACACACACACACACACACACACACAAAAGCACACAGGCATGGGCAAAAAGCAAACAATAGATTAAAAGTGGCAAAAACTCTCATACTCTCAATTTTAAAGTACCTGTGTCTTTGGGATTGGACCACTGGTGAACAAATTAAACCAGGATTACACAATATAACCAAATGAGCAAAGTCAAAGCTGTGGTTACAGCAGGGGAACTAGAAAAATGAATGTCGTCCACCATTTGATGTGACTTTTTGACCTACAGA